ACAATGGTCCGTCAACTTGCTCTTCGTCGAATTCTGGGATGTCAACGCAAAACGGGCCCTCCCATTGACCATATTTGCGAACAAATCCCCAATCGTGTCGGGCATGATATCCATCAGCGAAGGCTGCCTCCTCACGCCAGCCCCTATCGCTGCGTTGATCGTCGACGTCCACGAAGACCGGGCCCCGTCGCCGCATGTCACGGCCGCCGTATGCAGCGAAGGGGTCAGCCTCGACATGCGGAGGTTTCCACTCACCGAAGGGATTCACCTCCGAGATGGTATCCTCGCCGTCTTCCTCGCCGGACGGTGGTTGTGGAGATCTCCAGCGGGGCGCCCCGCCTAGACTACGGCCTCCACGTCCTCCGTGAACTCCCACGCGAATTCCCCGGTTGCTGGCGTCACGGTTCGTCTGCAAATCCTCAACCAAGTTGTTGATCATAAGATGCACTTCTTTGATCCCCGTCGAAAGATCCTCAACCCGACGATCCAATTGATTGATCTGGGGGCCGAAGCTCGTGGCTTGTCGACCCGGATACTCAATGGTGGCATCACGCCCGTCGATGTCGTCCTTCCGCAGCGGCATCTTGAATCGTGCTGACTTCTGATACCACTTGATGTAGGGGAAGCGTACGAGTGGGACGATATTAATGAGATCTCAATCTCAAGAACATCAAAACACGATATAATTCATACTTTATTCACAAACAACCAAAGAAAATAAACTAGAGGAAGTCCTTTATATAAGGCTCCTAACCCTAAGCATTAACTTGTCCACCAAGCCATTAAATAATAATAATAATAATAATAATAACAATAATAATAATAATAATAATAATAATAATAATCTACACCATTCTTTTTTTTTTTTCAAACGGTAATTATATTAATAACTTAAAAACTCAAACGAGTACACCTGAAGTGTCAAGTTACACACTGGAACCAGAAGAGTGGACCAACTCCCCTTGTCAACACACAAGGAGGTACCAACTCCATCAAGGAGACTAACAACCACAAAGCAAAACTCCAAAAAAAAGACACAAACACCATAAAGGAGAGAAAAGCAGACAAAGCTGCACTAGAAAGCAGACACAACTGCACTAAACGAAACAAAACAACAACAAAAAAAAAAGCAACTCACACCTAATAAACAAATAAAGAAGATAAGACCTCCCCTACAACAAACTCAACACACGACCACCCGAGACTCATCCACAAGCAAAGAGATCCAACGAAGCCACAAATTTGAAACTCGAGCCCGAAAACTGCGGCTACTAAAGCCGCCTAGGCAGATCTGAAAGAAGAGTCTGCTCTCAAATCAAATTTGGCCTCCGAAAAACCATCCACACCATGGGAGGGGAGAGGTAGCCGCCACGAGGACACCAATATGCCTCGCCGAAGTGCTCGAAAGAAGGATCGGCCGGACGACAAGCCGCACCCAATGACCCAAGAACCTGAAAAACACAACCCCAGACGGAACGACGATCGATACCTCCCCGAGGCTGTGGTATGAACACTAACGGTCGGCGTCTCAACCTTGGCCGGGAAGATGGCTGGGCGGTGATAACAACTCAATCGGCGGGAGCGAGTGTTCCACGTCCAGATCTCCCACAAGCCTCAGAAGAGACGGAGAAATACCACAACCCCAACTCGACGAACTCCAACTCCGGCTGGTCGGCACCGAGAATGAAGATGAAGGAGGGGCAACGATAGGAAGATGAGAGGTTTTTTAGGGATTGACTAATTTGGGGAGACAAGAGGTTTTTTTTTTTTATTGAAGAAGAAAAAGCTCACATTTAGACTTTTATCAATTCAATTCAAATTAGGAATTTTGCCCAGTAAAACTTGATCAACACATATTATAGTTATTTTTTAAAATTTTACAGACCTTTTATTTGTTTTTAATTATTCATAATAAATAAAAGAATCTCAGTTATTATGTTGGGTTCGACGCTATTTAATTGTTCATGAATTGAATACTATGAATTTAATTCTAAGATTCTTGAATTTAGAATTGAGATCTTATAGTTTATAGATTGTCTAATCTTTTTACTATTTGTATATCTTTCACCTCAGTTAGCTGGGGGCGACGATCTCACGAGCATGTGTGGTAGGCCTTTGTCTCTTCCTTCGCTCGCTAGATTTCTTCTACTCTCTCTTTATGAGCGTGACATGATTTTTTTTTTTACTGTTTCTAGCAAAAAAAAAATAAAAATGAGAACCCTACATGGTTATTTATAAACTACAACAGAGACCTTAAGAAAGTTAGTGTTAGCTTTAGTGAAAAAGAAATTTACCACACCTACAATACATTGCCTAAATAATATCAAATTTACGAACAAATAAAACCTTTCGTCAAATCTATGATCTGTTATAATTAAAACTAGTGCAGAACCCGTGCGATGCACGGGGCTGAGTCATTTTTGGAGAATTTTGGTGGATAATATAATATAAGATGACATGTAT